TTTTTATGTTTTTTTTGTAATTAAAATATTAATACATAATTATATTGTCACTAATTATTTTTATTTTTTATTTTCAGATATTTCCTGAGTAGCAGTTTGCTTCTTGTGGAATGCAGCCGTGTGAAGATTGCGACGGACTTTTGTTTATGAAGAAAACTTTTATTTTTGATTTACATTATTTAGATTTGTGAACAACATTATGTATGTATTTTGCAAAATTATGTGGTTGGATAATTTTGATGATGTGTTGTTATGAATGGAAGAGTACTTTAATTAAGGATGAAATTTTATTTATATACAGGAATTTTTATATTATTATATAGTTATCGATTTTTTTTAGTTATTTTTATTTAATACAGGTAATTTGCATATTTTTAATAATTTTAAAATTGCATTTTTTTGTTAGAAACAGGTTTTTGCGACGGTAGCATAGCCGTCGCCAATGATATTAGCAATATGAACAAAAGGCCTTTAGCGACGGTACTTTCACCGTCGCAAATAATATTTTTAGAGACGGCACACTTTTCTGTCGCAAATAATAGTATTAACGACGGTATTCAACCCGTCGCAAATAACCAGTTTTAGCGACGGTATTTTTTACCGTCTCAAATAAACCCTTTTGCGACGGTATTTTCCCGTCGCAAATAACCATATTAGCGACGGTATTTTAGTGCCGTCTCAAAAACTTCAGATTTTTACACATTAATTGCGACAGCATTTTGCCGTCGCTAAGGTGTTAACGCCTCAAAATCACCAAAAGGGGTCGGTTTAGCACGAAACTTGGCACATGCGACCTCCTAGGCACGAGAGACTTGTGGGAGAAGACGGGACTCCAATCGGTTTCCCGGTTTGGGAGTTAGAGCCATATTTCGGTTTAGGCAAACTAGTTCCTTAAGAAATTTGAATTCGAGGTGTTGACGCTCCAAAATCACCAAAAGGGGTCGGTTTAGCACGGAACTTGGCACACATGACCGCCTAGGCACGAGAGAGTTGTGGGAGAAGATGAGACTCGAATCGGGTTTCTGGTTTGGGAGTTAGGGTCGGATTTCTATCTAGCCAAAATTATTTACTTAACTATCTTTGTAATTATATAATAAATAATTTTTTATGTTTTTTTTGTAATTAAAATATTAATACATAATTATATTGTCACTAATTATTTTTATTTTTTATTTTCAGATATTTCCTGAGTAGCAGTTTGCTTCTTGTGGAATGCAGCCGTGTGAAGATTGCGACGGACTTTTGTTTATGAAGAAAACTTTTATTTTTGATTTACATTATTTAGATTTGTGAACAACATTATGTATGTATTTTGCAAAATTATGTGGTTGGATAATTTTGATGATGTGTTGTTATGAATGGAAGAGTACTTTAATTAAGGATGAAATTTTATTTATATACAGGAATTTTTATATTATTATATAGTTATCGATTTTTTTTAGTTATTTTTATTTAATACAGGTAATTTGCATATTTTTAATAATTTTAAAATTGCATTTTTTTGTTAGAAACAGGTTTTTGCGACGGTAGCATAGCCGTCGCCAATGATATTGGCAATATGAACAAAAGGCCTTTAGCGACGGTACTTTCACCGTCGCAAATAATATTTTTAGAGACGGCACACTTTTCTGTCGCAAATAATAGTATTAACGACGGTATTCAACCCGTCGCAAATAACCAGTTTTAGCGACGGTATTTTTTACCGTCTCAAATAAACCCTTTTGCGACGGTATTTTCCCGTCGCAAATAACCATATTAGCGACGGTATTTTAGTGCCGTCTCAAAAACTTCAGATTTTTACACATTAATTGCGACAGCATTTTGCCGTCGCTAAAAGGCATCTTTGCCGTCGCCAATGTTTTTGCGACGGCGTTTACCGTCGCTAAAGACCTTTAGCTACCCCTTCTGTTGCGACCCCCCTACTACCGTCGCTAAAGGCTATTTACCGTCGCAAAAAAGCATTTGAGACGGCTTCTTTGGTATTAGCGACGGTATTTTACCGTCGCAAAAAAGCAAATTTTTTGTAGTGTTTATTATTAATTTTTATTCTTATTTATTTGAATTGTACACGCATCGCGTGTGCCACCTACTAGTATTATTATTAAGTGAAGACTGGATTTGGTGTGTAAGCCTTCTCCTCATGCCACGTGGTATATATTTTTAATCTTAAAAAAAAACAGTCACACAAAGAAGTCAATAAGATTTTAACTTAAGACCTTAAGTTTCATTAAAAAATATCTTACTACTTAGGCCTCGTTTGGGAAGTTGACTATTTTAGTTGGTTTTTTAGCTTTTTAACTATTTTAATTTGGTTTAAAAAGTTGTGTTTGGAAAAATAATTGATTTTTATTTTTTTTATAGTTGATTTGATAGTTGTAAGAGAAAAAATAAAATGATAATGGGTTAAATGTGATATTTTATTTTATTGACTATTTTAGCTTATTTTGTCTTTATTGATTATTTTAGCCCAAACAACATAATATCACAATTAATTTATCTATCACCCGCTAGTTATAATTAATAAAGAGTAATGATTCATAACTCTAAATTTGGAACTCTAATAATAGCTCTAATGATGTGACAATGAGTAAAAAAAAAAAAAAAAAAAAATGTAAACAACGATTCTAATGATGTGGCATGGAAAAAAAAAAAAAAAAACATATATCAAATCATTCATAAGTGAGATGCACTACTACATAAATAGGTCATTAAAGCTCTACTTTTGGTCCTTTTAAACATTTTTGATTAATCCAATAACTTTTTAATTATATGCTAAGAAAGTAACAATCTCAGTGAGCTCTTTTTAAAGCTCTACCTCTGTCCTTCTAAACATTTTTGATTAATCAAACAACTTTTTGACTTATATGCTGAGAAAGTAACAATTTCACTGGTGAGCCTTAACCAAAGAGACAAATATACTTTTTATATTGTTTTTTAATCATAAATTTAGATATTCAGTGATTTAAAAAGTGAAAAGGAGAGAAAGAAATGTAAAACAAACATGAATGATCATAAATCTAGATATTTAGATCATAAATTTATTATTTTTTCTCTAAATTGATGATCCAAATGGAGTGTTAGTGAAAGTAAGGAATTTGAGTGTACCAGAGCGGTCGCCTTGATGATGTCTTCACTCTTGCGTCCAAACACCAACCCATCACCATCTTCAGGGAAGCAAGACAACAACAAATCCATGAAGTCTCTTTCATCTTTCTTCACCTTTCCTTCTCTCCTGCTCTGCACATGTTCTTCAAGCCACATACTCATGAAATAATCCATCTCTTTACCATTCTTCTTCATAGCCTTCACATTACCCTGCAAATCCAACCATTCAATCCCGGGAATCACATCCGAACACTCAGAAACACCACCCAAATACATGAACTCTTCCATCGTTCTCGCGAACTGCCTTGCCTCCTTGCCTCTCTCGCTGTCACCGAAGCTGTATCTCTTCCCCACGATAGCCCTTAGCATCATGTTCATCGTCACTTGCCTAAACCATTCACTCACTTTCACCTTACACTCTGCTTTGGAAACATATCAGAGAAAAGAAAATAAATAACTACGTCAAATTAGAAAAAAAAAAGAAAAGATCGAAGTTTCTCTCTTGTTACCAGATAATCTCTTTTATATATATATATATATATTTGGAATTCGGGAAGAATATATCTTGTTTGGTGAAAAACAAAGTTCGGTGATATATTGTCAATTAATTATTTATATAAGAGAGCCTACGGTATGCAATATGCACTTTATCAAAATTAACGTAATTTTATTACAAAATTTTGTGATGATAAAATATATAATTTTATTACAAATTAACATAATAAAATATTCAAAATTGTGTGATTCATATAACAGAAATCTATGACTTAGTTATAACATTTTTTGTTAGATCAATTTGTGATAAGAATATGCGTTTTATAATTAATGTTACAAAATTTTATGATAAAATAACGTCAATTTATGATTAAGTAGATACACACTATAGAGTTTTCCACATTATAAACAAACCAAATTATAATTTACCCCTTATTTTTTTAATCTAAAATTGCCGAATTTAAACGGGTTGTTTATGAAAGTACCATTTTTGATGGAGAGTGAATAGAGCTCTTTGATGGACAAGTCCATCTCCAGGGCTCGCACATGCTTAAACGACTCCAAATTGCGGTTAGAGAGGAGGTCATGGGTGGTAAATTTACGGAGCTGGCGCCAGTAGTCATCGGAAGGTCCGAGCGAGGAAAAGGCACCATTGTAGCCCATGTATTTGAGAGCAGCGGTTTGGGGGCGAGACATGAAAGCTCGGTCGTTGACAGTGAAGCATTCGGTGACTGTTTGTTTGCTGCTCACTACGACTGCTTGGCGGAACCCGAGTCGGATTGTGAAGATGGGACCGTGTTGGTCGGCCATGGCGGCGAGGGTTCGGAAGAGTGGGATTTGGTTGCCGAGGAGGTGGAGGTGGCCGAGGATCGGCCATGCACCCTTTGGTTGTGGGGCTTGGATAAAGTGTTTGTTTGTGGTGGTGTTTTTGGATATCCATATTTTGGAGAGGAGAAGTAGGGCTACAAGGGTTCCGGTTGCTTGAAGTAGAGGAAGCAAATCCATTTTCACAGAGAGAGGAATATGGAGAGGAAATTATGTAGAATGTTGACGAATGGAGGGTCGATGTATGTAATACTCAAAGTTTACTATTTGATTAGTAAAAGGGAAAAGTTGAGTATCATAAAAAAAAAATTTCATCAAAATAACCATGAAAAATTTATGATTCTTGAATTACCTTTATTAGTGTGTAGTGTTTTATTTTAAGTGTAATTTAAGGATCATAAAGTTTTTATGATTATTTTCATAATTTTTTTTCATAATATCTAATATTGCTGTTAGTAAAATATGAAATTAGTGTTGACTTGATTATTTTAGTTGGATTAATGGGATGAATAATTCTTTATTGCTAACGTTTGTTTTGTAATAGATGGAAATATATAATTTGAATTATATATTCATTTCCCATTATTAGTTGTACAATTAAAAAAGTTATTTAATTATCAATTAGAATGTCTATTCAAATTTAAGCTTTGATAACAATGATTGCAACTTAAATAATAGAATGTCAGTCTCATATATTAATAATTTCAATCAAATGTTATAACTTGTCCAAATAAGCAAACTCAAAGAGTGATGCTATGACAATCTCTTCTTATCCTAAAAAATATTAAGTGTATTGGTGACACTACACAAAATCAATAAAAAGTTACAAATAGATTAAGTGGACAAGTATTGTCTCCCATTAACTTAGCCTCTGTTTGGAAAGTTGAGGTTGGGTTTTTTTTGACTAAAATAGTCACAAAAAATAGGCTTTTCAGTCTAATAAGATAAAATATCACATCAAACTCATAATCATTACATTCTTTCTCTCATAAAAGTCAAAAAAGCTAAAAAGTCCTTCCTAAATGAGGCTTTTTAATCTCAAGTTAAAATAGTCAAAAAGTCAAAAAACTAACTCACTTTGCAAACGAACCCTTAATATTGTTGTGATTTCTACTGCAAATCAAGATTATTTATTGAATGATGATACTACCATGTGATATGTTAATCCAATAGTGGGTTGGCTTTTTGGCTTTTTGGCTTTTTGGCTATTTTAGCCTGGGCTATTTTAGCCTGGTTTGGGAAGGGGTTTTTGGCTTTTTGGCTTTTTTGACTTTTTTTGTGAGAGATGATTGTAATGATTATGGGCTGGATTTGATGTTTTGTTTTTTGTGGTTAAAATAGCCTATTTTGTTTTTTGTGGCTATTTTAGCCCCAAACCAAGTTCCCAAACAAAGGATTTTTATCATATCTATAAGATTATGAAACCAAAACTAATCATTTAATCAACCACATAAAATAATTTTATTATACATATTACATAATGAAGTCCATCATAAAATATACAATTTCATTTATCATATAATAAGCCTACAGGCATAGAATCAATAATAGAACCATCACGTAAAACATAGATAGAGAAATCTGATTGAAACAATCATTTATGATGGTCCTACCATGTTTGAAACGTTTTATGTAATTAGTTATGTCATTGGTTTTGTGGCTGTAATCTTGTTGCTTGTCATATGATACGTGAATTAGATATTAATAATGTTGGATTTGTTCAAGGGAGTGGCCCCCTTAGCGTTGGATTCCCAAATCAAATCTCTTTCGCCCTTGTTTGGCAAACTCAGATTAAATAATCAGAAAAAGATAATAATAATAATAATAATAATAATAATAATAATAATAATAATAATAATAAAAGTCAAAAAAATTAAAAAGTAAAAAAATCAATAAAATCAATAAAAAATTTGTCATTCTAGAGCTAAAAGGTCAAAAAAGCCAAACAATAAAACCAAATAAACAAAAAAATCTTAGGCTAAAAAAATAAAAAATAAAAAACTAAAAAATCAGCTAAAAAAGTAATTATCAAACGACCCCTAAGAAAGTAAATCTTGTGTGTCATGGTAGTCTGTTGTAGTACTTTTATGAAACAGTAGTAATACAGACCACTAATTTAAGCTGGCAGGGAAAGAAAAAAAGAAACGAAAAAAAGAATGAAACATCGCATTACTGACTGATTTTGAAATTTTCAAAAATAGTTTTGAAAATATCAATTTATCTTTTTTTATTTTTAATAAAATTTTTAAATATTTTAATTAAAAAAATTACTTTTTATATTCATTTAATTTATGTACCTTTAAAAGTATAAAATTTTTAAAAAATTAATAGATCGACTTAATTATTTTTAAAAAAATTGCAAATTAGGGTTTTTTTTTCCAAAATATTTATAAATTTATGAAAAAATTCTATCTTTAATTATTAAGTTGTTAAAGTTTACCACTGATTTGAAATTTTTTTTTTCAAAACATACATCGAATTACAATTTTTCTAATTTTTTTTTTATTTTTTTATTTTTATGAATAATATACACGGAGTCTCTACAAAATGAAAAATGAACTGTTAGAATTATTAAAACAAGACATATAGTGGGCCTCACAAGGTCGAACAATTCTTGCTCATATTTATACTTGAGATCAGCCTTATCCTTTTTTATACTAATTTTCAAAAAAAAAAATTTATAATTTTTTTCATGAACGATATACACGGAGGCTCTAATAGTAGTGAACACACCTTGCTTGTTTCTACTTTTCAAAAAACACTTTTCAGAAAATTTTACTTTCTTATTTTTCGTATTTTTTTGTTTTTACTGATTTTTTTTAATATTTTAAGCAATTTTTTTACTTTTTAGACACACCTAACATAAATACATCTAAAAAGTAAAAAAACTTGTAAATTTTTTTTAAAAAAATTCACTAAATATCAAAAATATAAAAAAAATACAAGAATTCAGTAAATTTTTTATATTTTTATGTATTTATTAATTTTTTAAAATATTTTTTCACAAATTTTTTACTTTTTAGATACATCTAAATAAGGTGCATCTAAAAAAATAAAAAAAAATGTTTAAAATTTAAAAAATATTTACTAAAAACAAAAAAATACGAAAATAAAAAAAGTCAGTTTTCAAAAAACTTAATCAAAAAAACTCAAACCAAACACATTGTAATTTTCAAAAAAGATTGGGCTTCTCTTCAATTTAAATATGAATTTGCAACAATTGCTCAGGCTCCTAAGGCCCATCATATGTCTTATTTTAATATTCGAACCATTCAAACTGTAAATTTATGATATTAGAAAAAATTTCAAGAATTTACCCAAAATGATAGATTAATGGTATATATTTAAAATTATTGTTGAAAGGTCACTTCTAGAGTGAATCTTGACCATAAATTTATAGTTCTTGATATTTTCTTATTTATTATTTTTTGAGTTTGTAGCATTCTTGAGGAACAAAGATAAGTAATTTCACGTCATTCGCCTCAGTAAATTCCAAACCAAAGAGTACATTCTGGGGAAAGGTTAGGGGCACCCAAGTCCTGCACTGGAATGGTTTAATTGAAAGGGGAAGTTTCCAAGGGAAAATTACTACTATTCAGTATAAATTTAGAAAAATAATTACATATCAGTGATAAATTTTATAAATATTAATAATTAAAATTTAAAATTTTTCATTTGTTTATAAATATTTTTTCAAAAGTTAACTGAATTGTAATTTCCTCAAATTTCAATCAGCTTGCTTGGTTGTGTTTTTTCAAAAACACTTTTCAGAAAATTCTACTTCTTATTTTCCGTATTTTTTTGTTTTTACTGAATTTTTTTAATATTTTAAGCATTTTTTTTTTACTTTTTAGACATACCTAACATAAATATACCTAAAAAGTAAAAAAATTGTGAAAAAAATCTTTTAAAAATTTCACTACACGAAAAAACCAAAATATAAAAAATACGAGTATCAGTATATTTTTTGTATTTTTATGTATTTATTAAATTTTAAAATATTTTTTCACAATTTTTTTACTTTTTAGATACATCGGGAAGTAAAGTGCATCTAAAAAAGTAAAAAAAATATTTAAAATTTTAAAAATATTCACTAAAAACAAAAGAACACGAAAACCAAAAAATTGAGTTTTCAAAAAACTTAATTCAAAAAATTCAAACGAAACATACTGAATATTTTTACAAAAAATTATAAATAGGTATATAAGAATTAATAATTAAAAATATAGTAATTTTTTTTATTAATTTATAATAATTTTTTGACAATACCACTTATTAGTATTTTCCCTTAATTGAAACGTTGATTAGTATTATGAAAAATATTTGAGACTCCTAAGAAAATGCTCACAATTTTGCTCTTAATGATGTGAAATGATAAGTGTCAATTTTTAATTTATTACATACTCAATTATGTGAGACTCTACACCGTACTTCATTAGAGGTGTACTTGGGAGTAAAAGAAAGTGATGTAGCAAAATTATTAGGCCTGGTTTGTTTGGTGAATTAAGTTAGATATGATTAAGAGTACAATGAAATTAAGTGAGGAAATTATTAGTATAGTGTGGTGATATTAAGGGGTTGTTTGAGAAGTGCCAAATTAATATACTTTTTAATTTTTTTCGAAAAAATATAAAATGTAAGTTGAGATTGAAGTGATGATAAAAAGAGATAATGCAACCCAAATAAAAAGTAATGTGATCTAAATAAAATATTGCCTCCATCCCAAAATAATAGTATCTTTTAGGAAATTTAATTTTTTTATAGTATAATTATTACATTTTAAAAATATTAATTTTTTAAAATTATCTTTTGATAATATATTTTTTTTGATAATATCAATGATCATGATTGTACTTTTTGTAGTGTTAATAAATTTAAAAGAATAACAAAATAATAAATTTATATTATTTTATTCTTTAACTTTTAAAAATATACTAATATTTTAAAACAATAAAATAAAAAATAAAAAACTAATATTTAAAAAATAATAATTATAATTCAAATAAAATAATGGACTAAAGAAGCCTGATATTGGCTAAACAAATAAATCGGTGGCTTGCGTGGGCCGCACACGTTTAACTGGCAGGTGGCCCTACAAATATTATTGTCTTTGCGTGGCCCCCACAGGAGAGAAAATTCAGACAAATAAATGGTGATTGATATTAGAGATTTTAAATAATTTATCAAAATTTTTATTAAATCTCTCACATGATATAAGACTTAAACATATGTGGGTTTGTATGGATCTTACATGCAT